CTATTTTTTTCCTTTCTCAAAGCATCTAGCTAATCGCCAGCAGCTCATATAAAAATTTCAGTTTCTTTCAGTCAGTGTATGCTGTGCTGCCCCCCTCCCCCTCTCCTTCTGCAGTTTGCATCAAAAGACCATAACAATCAAAGTACAGTGTGCTCCAGATTTAGAGATGGATATTTAAACTTGATGCGGCAGCAGACATGCTTAGGTTTTTTATTTTATTTTTTATTTTTCAGTGTGGCAGCGAGCACAGAGCAGCTCTGTATCACAAGGACACAAGTGTGGGATCATTCTGCTGCATATGTAATTATCTGTGATGTAAATAGAAATACAGCTATAAATATGGTTGGAAACTATAGCAGACGGTGTCTGTGGTTTCTACATCCTCTTGTAACACACACTATCATCACCAACAAATCCCGTCATCAAATTCTAAAGAAAAGTTCACAGTTTTATTAGAACATATGATTGACATCTCTAAACTCAACAGTTTATGCCACGAAAAAGAGGACTGCTGTTATTTCTAGTTAGCTTGACCTAGCAAGGAACAAAAACAACCGATTTTTATCTCAAAAATGGCAGTGCATAAAGAACAAAGAAAGGAAGGAACACAGATTTAATGGGTATAAAACATGAGGATCATTCACAAGATATCTCAGTCCTGGATTGAGACGTGTTCTGGCCGCCTCAGTGTGTCTTCTGAATGGATCGTGGTGGCGATGGAGGTCAAAATCAGCCCACAGACAACATGAGAAACAGCTCTACAAGCCCAGAAAGTTCAGGAGCTAAAAAAACAGATGGCATTGCTGTAGATCAGAGGTCTCCAACCTTTTCTTCCTTAAGAGCTACTTTCACAAAATGAAATTGTCCGAGGGCTACTTTTTGCAACATTTAATTTTAATCTTAAACCATTGGAATAAGCTTGATTTGCATGAAAAACATTGTCTTCAATTCACATGAAACCACCACAAAGAACACTGAATTTACATAAACTGTKTGAATGAMAACCAAGGGGAAGATATATCTATAGCTTGATTGTAATTAAATTAAAGTTTGGTTGGCCAGTGGCAAATTAAATTTTGCTTCTCCTAATTTTTCATAAGCACTGAAGAGCTACTTTGAGCTCACGAGCTACTGGTTGGAGACCCCTGCTRTAGATGATGTCCCTTAGACACTCCACCCTTCTTTCTCCACAGAAGAACAGATGTGTAAATTTGGTTCAAGCTTAGATGTTCCAGTTTAGTGAGTATTTGAAATAATTGTGTCGTTGAGTTTTGTAAACAGATTTGTGAATCTGCACCTAAAGCCATCTCTTCTAAATAGTGAGCACTAATTGCGGGAGAAAGGGAAAAGAGCCTCTTTTTGTTTGTTCAGTTCTCTCCTGTTTCTTATCAGGAGTTAGCTTAGGAAATTATATTTTTGTTTTATTTTCCTTTGGTAGGTAAGTGTAGGTGTTTTAGGTAGACTGTCTGGTTTGTCACAACTCTTCACTGAAGTTAAAACTGCTAAAACTCTGTTTTCTGTTTGTTCTGCTGTCCTTTGCCGAATTGAGGATTGTGAAGAAGCTCTAATATATCCCAGTATTTACCTGGGTCTAGGAATGTAACAATGTGTTTTGATATTGAAACGAGAAAAGTAGATCTTGGCAAACTGGCCACTTCAAAAGTTGATCTTTGCTCAAAAATGTTTGGGCACCACTGCTGTAGTGAAATTTTGAGTGTTGTAAAGTAATTGCCCCAAAAGTGCAATAAGCATCCTAATGAGCCCTATATTCCCAGCAGGCATTCTCATCATTAACCCATTATGTTTCTTTATTTTTAGTCATTGTCTTTGTTGCCTGTAGTCACCATTGTTCATGTAAATTTATGATTGTATTGTTATACTCATAAAGGTATTTGTTATTTGACAGTGTATGCACTGTGCTATGAGTTTAACATACATTTATTTGATGCAGCAGTTCAGTAGCATCAACCATTTTAGTTAAAAATACTTCAGAAAGGTTCTGTTTACATAAAATATAAAACTGTCAATAATTTGGAGGTTAAGATAAGAATTTTTATTAGAGATGCTCGATATTGACTTTTTGCCAATATTTGATATGCCGATATTGTYAAATACTTAATTTCCAATTYTGATATTAACAGATATTAAAAACCAATATTAAGCTGACATCAAATATCTCCTGTCAGGGACATTCTGCCTGCTTTTACTGTGATACCCCACTAGATCTATTCCATAGGTAAACATTGTCTGTACGAAATAAAAACCATCTCACATAAGTTATGGAAAAAGTGCCATATTTATTTTTAACATTTTGTTTCAAACAATAGTTTGAATCATGCTCTCCCTGAGATAATCCAGTGTGATGATGTCATCAATCGCGCACCAGTGTGTCTCTGGACCACAAGCTTTTATTAACACATTTTGGTCTAATTCAGGCATTAACTTATCGGGCTTTTGTTATCGGAAGAAAAAAACGATACTGATATGAAGAGATATTACATTTTTATGCCAACATCGGACCGATAATATCTGTAGGCCGATATTATCAGACATTCCTAATTTTTATCCTGCATTTTCTCGCCCAAAGCAAGAAAAATCTTCTCTTTTATCTGTTTGTTGGTTTAATTTGACTGATGGGCCAATAGACTCATTTTTAGTCCATTGCTGCATGACTTACTGACAGATGGACTTCATGTTGTAGCCATAATACATTGTCATATGTTAAAATGCTTGATGAATACAAATTCCTCATTTTAAAATCTCAAACATCAAATTATGATGATAAATGAAAGGGCTTKATTTTTATTTGTAGAAGTAAAGCATAGTTCAATTCTTTAAATTGCCATTCAGCAAGCAGCCCATTTTACCTCTGTGATTTGTTAAGCTGAATGCAGTGAAATGGCTTGATATTTCCAGGTTTGTGCTTGGCTCTGGATTTATTTTACCCTCAGTTGTGACATGATTCATATTGCTATAGCAACCCAAACCGTGGGGATTAGATGTTGTACGGGGYATGCAATAAGCCCAGTCGACTTGACTTCTCTTTGCATTTTACTGAAAGGCACAAGGTTATCAATTTTACATCTGCACTTCTGTGAGGAGCCTTGTAGTAAATGTGGTTCAGTTACTTAAATGCTTTTTTATAACTTAATATAAATTTACCCATTAAAAAATAATGCTGATAAGTTAACMTTGAGATCAATTAACAGTCCAGTCAAACAACATTGCTTTATGGAGATTTTAATGCTCTTTTAAGGTTGAAACCACTTCAGAGAGATTGTCTCTGAGTGCAGAATCACTCAGGCTTTGAGTCCTTTTCTCACTTCCTTGAATAAACTCCAGAACTGTTTCAGGGGCTGGAGCAGTGGATGCTTTCCTGGAAGGCTCATTGTTTGGTTAAAAGCGCCTTGAATGCTGGGGGAGTTGTGTAATGGATGGTAGCATCATAGGCCTATCTGACAGAGGGATTATTACTGTTATCCTGCACTGATGGGACCTGAGCCCCTCTAGGTTGCCTGTTAATTACATTTCCAGTTGTAKGGTATGTAGCTGTTGCTGCTCTGGGAGCAGAGACTGGCTTGCTTTGATGTGGTCAGTCCTCCTCAGTCCCATATGAAAACTTATCGTACTTAGGTACGATAGGTTCTTACCTAAGTATAGTACGATACTTAGGTTCGATACTTAGGTTCTTTTTTAGGTACTTACCGTACCTAAAAAAAGAAACATGCCCACTATGGTTAAACATGGCGACTGATGACAGCTATGATTTGATTTTGGTGGAAGGAAGCAAAAATGGTTTTATTATCTTTGCTACTGTGAGCATAAATCTTTTTTAGAAATATATCTGTGATGTTCTAGGTTTTTATTTTTATTTTTTTGGGGTGGGGGGCGGGGTTCTGTGCTGCAAAAATAACTCTGTATTTATAATTGTTATCTTCCATTCATGTGTTTTGTACAGTCAAGGTTAATTCCAACTGAAAGAAGATATCAAGGTGAAAGAGTAAATAATTCATCATGAGCAGCATGTTCAGCCCCTCTGGCTTAATGCCCATGTGTAATTGGGACAACACCATTCTATTYTGTTCGATCTCTCTCTTGTTGCTACGCTACCAAAGCAAACGTTGAGTGGGCCTGGATGGTCTTTGGATTGCAAGTTGGAACGGCAGCCTTGCATTCTTAATACCTGATGTCACCCTTTTTTCATTTGTCTTCTCTGCAAATTACCTGTCTCTTTACCGCTTAGTGGGAGGGCATTGAAATTATTTTATACCGAAAATATCCCATGTCGTTCYCAGGTTGCAGTTTAGAGTTTTGCTTTTTTCTCTTTTCTCTTTCCAGATGCATGATTTATACATTTAATGTTCCTGTCTTTATAAGAGCCATTTATTTCTGGAGTTGACTGGTACACAGGAGCACCACACAGATCACAAAYGTGACCAAATCATCATAGATCATTTTTAAATGGGGTTCTATAGAAAGGTTCTGAGCAATTAATRTCTTACCTGTTGTAGTTAGCTTTTAAAAAGCTCATTTTGTAGAATGTGTTCAATTTTGACCAAATTCACACTTTAATGGCTAGTCTGATTTATTCAGCTACTATTTTATAAATGTTATATGACTGGTAAATTCACATTACATGGTTATCCTGTTGAAATATGTTATTTCTGCAGGGAGTGCTACAAGTGGCTACTGCTGCTGTTTTTTGCACTATCATAACATAATTTTCAGAAATTAATGGGTTTCTAAWGTAATGTTTGCATAAACAAAAATGTCTAATGTCTAGATGATGTAGCATTTTGTAGGTTAGCTAGCTAAGGCACATCATAACAAGGAATCAGTCCATCAGYGGACAAGACTAAAAATGAGCACAATTGGTTTTGATTTCAGTAAAGAAAAAATATCATGTGCCAAACCACACACATCGTTACCTACAGTTAAACTTGTCTTCCTCTTTGTTTTCATTCATTTTATTTATTTATTTTTCTTTCTTTTTCCCCCAGGAGTGAGCTCAGCCTTCCATCATACCTCCTCCCTCTCAYTGGGCTAAGATGAGTATTACCAGTGATGAAGTGAATTTCTTGGTCTACAGATATCTTCAAGAATCAGGTTTGTCCCTCAAATGCCTGAGAAATGTACTGGAGCTGTTTATGTTAGGAATAAATCAATKTACTTAGAGTATATACGTGACTAAATTTAAATATTTAGTCTAGCAATAGACTTCTGCCTCTGCATTTCTGTTGGTGGAGCGAATAATTTAATACTTTTTTTATGTTACGCCTGATTAAACAAGTAAACACACCTTCACTGAAATATTCAATAAACTGGCCTCTCTCTCCATGGAATGTGAACATCTTTGTGTTCCTGTAGTCATATTCATTCCTGAAATCTGGATCTCWACAGTTTGAATCAGTGATTGAAATCCTAGCTGCTGTGTTTTTCTTACTTTTTATAGACTGTGTCTGAAGCCAGGAGGTTTTGTGCAAGCATTTAGCAGATCTGAGGAGTCAACATTGACATGGGCATGCCTTCTTAAATTGCATAATGCTTACAAAATGTTGCACAAACTGGTATCTAGCTCGATTGGTTGGCTCCATAATTGGCTTTTTCTTTCAATATTTGTTTGGTGTGTTGACATCTTGTWTCTGGTGTTTTGTTTCCAGGTTTCTCCCACTCAGCGTTCACCTTTGGCATTGAGAGCCACATCAGCCAGTCGAACATTAACGGAACACTAGTGCCCCCTGCCGCCCTGATCTCCATTCTGCAGAAAGGCCTTCAGTATGTGGAGGCAGAAATCAGCATTAATGAGGTGACTCCCACAGATGAAACTTTTTATTCATATTCAGCTTGTTTTGTCTTTGCAGAAGAAAAAAAACACTTGTCACCTCTAAGGAATGTGGAAAATCACTACTAATAAATCCCGTTTGCCTTTTGTCAGGACGGCACAGTCTTTGATGGTCGGCCGATTGAGTCGCTGTCGCTCATTGATGCAGTAATGCCCGATGTGGTGCAGACGCGACAGCAGGCGTTCCGCGACAAACTGGCCCAACAGCAGGCCGCCTGTACCATCACCGCTTCAACCTCCGGAAACCARTCAAATGCATCAAGGAACGGAGAAGCCACGGTTAACGGCGAGGAGAACGGTACTCACAGCATGAGTAAGTCCACTCCTCTAAACATGGGYGTCCTGGTTTTCTCACGGCGGGAGCTGACCGTGTCTTTGTGAAGTAATTAGGTGATCAGATGGTTGTCGACAGGGGCAAATGAGAGTACAGTCAGGGGTTCTGAAAGAAGGCAAATACCTACAGCTTATGAGAGAATACATTTTTTCTGAAGTATAGAGAAATGTAAACTTGATGAATTTTACAGACACTATTTTTAAATTTGGCGTGGTAGTAGCTGAGGGTCATCGCCATCACATACTCTGAACTCTAACCATCAGGCCAGGTGGTGATGATTCATTCAAAAAGTCTTAGTTTTATTATTATTGGTAATAAAAAAAAGCCTCTTTTTACTACTAACTGCTTAGTGACTCTTTGAGTTTTTGTAATTTCACTAAATTTGGAAAAGTTTGGACTTTTTCTAATGATCTAGTTGTTTATTGTTAGTTGCGTTTTCTACAGATTTAAGTGTGTTTCCCATCTGTSTGCAGATAATCACAGTGAGGCCATGGAGGTGGACGTGGATGTGGAGATACCAGCCAGTAAAGCCACGGTGCTCCGAGGCCACGAGTCCGAAGTCTTCATCTGTGCCTGGAACCCTGTCAGTGATCTGCTGGCCTCGGGGTGAGTCCGCCTGTGCACACACAAATCCTAACTAAACCTTGCATGTCGAATGTGTGCAATCTGTTGTTTCTCTTTAAAAAAAATCTCTTAAACTCTTCCTCCTGTGTCGTGTTCAGCTCGGGTGACTCGACTGCTCGAATCTGGAACCTGAACGAGAACAATAACTCAAACTCCACCCAGCTGGTCCTCCGCCACTGTATCCGAGAAGGTGGCCAGGAYGTTCCCAGCAACAAAGATGTCACCTCACTAGACTGGAATGTAGGTTTCAGATGAGCTGTSCTCTTCCTACCTGTTCTGTATGGTAAACAGACAAACAGCTTCTGTTTTCTTTTCTTCCAACAGAGCGACGGGACTCTCCTGGCAACTGGCTCTTATGATGGATTCGCCAGAATTTGGACAAAGGATGGTATGTCCTCCATCACTGTCACACATTGTTTTCCTGGTCATTAAAATGACTGCATTGTTATTGTGAGTAATTGTTCATTTTGAGACATTTTCTCTGAATCAAATTAACAGTGACTCTTATTCATCAGGAAATCTGGCCAGCACCTTGGGGCAGCACAAAGGACCCATATTTGCACTCAAGTGGAACAAGAAGGGGAACTGTATTCTCAGTGCTGGAGTAGATAAAGTGAGATCCAAAGACACAGATTATGTTTCACTTAAGGATTTCTTATACTTATGTAATCATAGAGTTCAAATTTTGCTAAAGTAGTGAGACTTTTGTGTTTTATCCAAATCTAAAATGCAATAAAAAATGTTTGTAACATGTATGGAAACAAAAACGGTCATTCACTTAATCTATAGAAGTCCAGATAAAGAAAGTTTAGCAAGAAGGTCTGTTGTTGTGCGTTTTTTTAAGAAATGTTTTACTCGTGTTTTAAAGTACACCTTTGATTTTCCAGACGACAATCATTTGGGATGCACACACGGGGGAAGCCAAACAACAGTTCCCTTTTCACTCAGGTGAGYTCAGTTGTTGAGCGTTCAGAACAACAAATATGATCCAAAAGAATATTCAAAATGTTTCTCAGTTGTATTGGGTGATCACCAAATGTCTAACTCCTAACCAGCATGGATTGTGTCATTCACAGCTCCGGCTCTGGATGTGGACTGGCAGAACAACACCACGTTTGCTTCCTGCAGCACAGACATGTGCATCCACGTGTGTCGCCTGGGCAGCGACCGGCCTCTCAAAACCTTTCAGGGCCACACAGTGAGCAGCTTGTTTTGTGTCGCTTCTTTGACCTTATCTCACACACTCCCCTGACAGTCGCTGTAATGATTATTGTTCTCCTCAGAATGAAGTTAATGCTATTAAGTGGGATCCATCGGGTATGCTGCTCGCCTCCTGCTCAGATGACATGACCTTAAAGGTAGGGCTATTTTTTTATATTAAAGGCTGCAATAAACAAAGATGGAGATTTGTGTTCATTKTTTGCCGTTGCTTTCTCACAGATTTGGAGTATGAAGCAGGAGTCGTGTGTCCATGACCTCCAGGCTCATAGCAAAGAAATCTACACTATCAAGTGGAGCCCCACCGGCCCGAGCACAAATAACCCCAACGCTAACATCATGCTCGCCAGGTAGGAGATTCTTCTCCGTTTACATGAGAAACCATAGAAAACACCCAGTCACAGTGGAAGTTGAGGGGAAAGTAGTTTAGTGGAGCAGATTGTAGTTTTGGGTGTCACAGTTGAGTTTGCATCTTTCCTCTCTGTAGGTTTTTATCCGGTTATTCCAGTTTAAGCTGGTTTGTAACTGTGAAATAGTCTCTAGGTGTGAGTGATTGTCTCGTTAGCGTCATGTAATTCCTGTGATGCTCTGACATGTCCAGGGTGTAGCCCAGCTCTCACACAGTGACTGCTGGGTAAAGGTGATGGATGGCTGGACTGTTGTTTGATGTAGAGTTTTGGGAAAGAAACATGGATGTTAAAGATGAAAGCCTGTTCCAACCCCAAATCCCAGTGCAGATAATGGTCAGTGGCCCACTTCCTGACCCAGATGTGCATTCATGTGTAAATGTTCCAGTTCAGGTGCCCCAGGAATTTGCAGTCCACCCTGCTGGCCCCCCACACCTGCCTATAAATCACCAGGAATACAACAGTTCATGCTCAGWACAAACCTCAAACATTGTAGATAACAAATGTGCTGAATATTTTTAATTAATCTAAATTTATTTATTTTTACATATCTTAGTCATTTTATTTTAAGTTTTTCATTCGCTACACTTTTTTTTTTAGCACTGCTTATTTATACATTGTTAAATACGAGGTGTTAATTAAAAATGTTCCCACTTTCTGGTGGGGAAAAAAACTGATTAAATTTGTAGGTGTTTTGTGTTAAATGTGACTCATTAGCACTAAGAAGATGCTTATAACAGGACTTAATAAAACACAAATACTGACAGCTGATAACTTCCAAAAGTCATTTATTAGTCTGTTAGAGGATTTGAGCTTCTCTACTTCTTCATAAATCAGTAAAATAAATTAAACATGAAACAGAACCTATAAAATCAAATGGCTGTCATAAAAAAGATAAGCAGGCTGATCTCTTGCTTGTGTTTTTCCACACAGCGCATCTTTTGACTCGACAGTGCGACTGTGGGAYGTGGAACGAGGTAAATGTATTCATACTCTAACCAAACACCAGGAACCGGTCTACAGCGTGGCCTTCAGCCCCGACGGCAAACACCTCGCCAGCGGCTCCTTCGACAAGTGTGTCCACATTTGGAACACCACGGTACGACTCAAAACACAGGTTTTATTCTGAACCGCACAGCAGCCAGAAGAAATGTGATCAAGGTTTCAAAATCTTGATGTGWTGCATCGTTTTTATTCTGCTGTTTCAGACGGGATCCTTGGTGCACAGCTACCGGGGAACAGGTGGCATCTTTGAGGTGTGCTGGAACAGCACTGGGGATAAAGTCGGTGCCAGTGCATCAGATGGTTCTGTAAGCAACAATTCATTTATAGTCTTTTATTTTAATGTGTATTTTAATTAGTATAAGTGGAACATGCTGTTAATGATGCCTACTTGTTTACTTTTAGGTTTGTGTTCTTGATCTCCGAAAATAGCTGCCCCAAGACTYGGATAAGGAATCCTGGAAAGAGCAGAAATGGCCTCTTTGTGACATCAACAAACTGTCTCTTTGCTCGATAAGGGCYGAGAAGGTGTACTGAAATGAACTCTTCACAGGAGCTAAAGCAGATGACAGCAGCAGCTCCAACACCACCTAAACTTAGTGCACCTTACTGATTGTTGATGTGTTTTTACAATAAGCCCGAGAGAAGGTGGAAACTGGCAAAGAAAYCCTCGAAAAKAAAGAAGTGGATTCCACTCCCGCAGCACATCCATGTTTTTAAAAGGTTTCCAGTGAGGACGTGCTGTGATCCCTGCAGGCTCCACATCCAGCTGTTATCGGGTTGTAAGGGTGGAAACGCGAAGATGAGTCAAAGTTTTATAAAGAGAGAATAATGAGAGACAGGTGTTTGAGCTGTGAGAGGCAACAAAATGTGAAGGGAAAGCTGCGGATTTATAATTCCTCTGAGATGTGTTACTCCATGTCCTCACAATCCAACAGGCAAGWGGATGAAAGTAACAGATTCTCAGTACTGAAACGCTGCCACTTTCCGTTGACCAGGTGCTCAACTTCTCCTCCAGCGGAGTTCCTTTCAAAAGTACTTTTTTTCCACAAATGGACTTTCGAACGTTTGATTGAAAGTGTTGCTTTGAGGTAAAGCTAAGCTCATTTTAAAAATCAAGACAATAAGAGAAAAGCTCCTTAATAAGATCGTCTTAACCACCCCCCACCCCACCACATACACAAAAAATGACCTGCTCCACTCTCTCAAGATTACCAGATTTCATTTTGTATAAAAGATGTGAAAAGTGTGGTTTACGAAGAGTTTTCTCCCTTTTTGGATGTAAATTTCGAGAATGTAAAGAGATGTAAATTAGAATAACACAGACTTATATACTGTGTATATATGTTTATATACAGTACACTTTATGTCTATCTATAGGGGCTCTTCATTGGCTGAGCTATCACATCTTTTTTTGCTGTCAATGTGGGACAAGAAYGCTTTTAATGGAGTGCATGTGTCTGGCTTTTTTTTAAAAAAACAATCTTTAAATCTTTACTCATTGTATTCAGTGCAACAGACTTTTTTCTGTTTTAAATGAGTTAAAAATGTATGGAGAAACTTATTGAGCAGCTCTGCTACGATCCATAAAGGAAACTTGTACCTGGATCCCTGCGTATGGGGTGAATATCTGGTCAAAAACAAGGTCAATCACAGTCGATTTAGATTTGTTTTGTGCTTTAAGCAGCAGCAACACAAATCAGATGAATCATCCTGTATAAAGTATAAGCAGCTTGAGTAACATCATCATAATTCCTCTTTGGCACATTCCTCTGAACACCCAGATATATTGTCCAAGGAGTAGAGTTATAGTTTAAAAGTCCTGCTGTTGTTGATGGAGAAAAAAAAGAAGAAGCTGTGATTGGTTTTATTTTTCCCAGCAGATCAGGTTCAGTCAGATTTAAAATGCTTGTGGGGGTTGTTTGCAGAATTTGTGTCCGTTTCTGCTTCTTGAAGATCAAGACCGCATCTTTTTTTTAGATTGAACTCGCCGCCATTTTGTTTTGCCTTGTTTTTAACAGTTGGTCCCACTCACTTTGTAGTCATTCTCTACTACAGCAACATAAAGTGCACTTTTATGATCGGTGGATTCAGCAAATGCTCAATTTTCGTTAAAAGTGAAGGTCCAATGTTGACTTTTATCATTTTTTTTCTTTTTACTTTAAAGTCTTTCATGATTGGATTGTAAAAGGTGTTGCATTGCTTTATTTTTTCTTTTTCCTAATTTGCTGAAAGCCATTATTGTCTGTGTCAGACTGAGAATCGGGCTGTGGGTTGGCGACCTGTACTGGCATGCTAAGAAGCCCAAAATGGCACAAGTGCTGTGACAGCTACTATCTTTTTTTCTTGCTCTCACCCTGGTCCAGGGTGCTGTCAACTGTTTCCAAGACAAAACTTTGAAGTCATTCAGTGTCTCAAATAAATTACTCTATTTTGATATCAGACAAAAACCTGCCTGTGTCTTAAATTTTTTCTTGTCCGGGATTGTAAATAAAACAGGAGTTCTCTTCTTACAATTCTCAACAACAAACTGTATAATTAAGATAAAATACATGAGGAAAAAAATAAACAAAACAAACAAAAAATTAAGTTTGAAAACCTTGTTCTAAAATCTACTAATCAGCTTATTGGTTTTGTAGTATTTTCAAACATTAAATCAAAAGTTCACACATTTACTTGGGTTCTGTGAAAGCATGAACAATTAATATCTTACCTGTTACACATAGTTCTTTGAAAACCTCTGAGAAAATAGTTCTGGCTGGATTAATTTGAAATAGAAGCAGTTTAGACTCCTTGGCTCGCTGTTCAAAGAGCTATCTACAACAGGTAAGATATTGACTGTTACCTTTACACAAAACCCTACTTCAGTAGCTCTGAACTATTAATGAGGTAAACTGGACAAAAAGGTGCAAGAAATGTACTAGAAATAGTTTCTTCAAGCATTTAAAGTTGAGTTTGTAACTAGAACTAAAGTCCTAACAACTTAATATTATAAGAAATGTTTAGCTATTAGGCCTGAACAACATTTAAAATGTTTCTAAAAAATAAAATGGAGAATTAGACTAATCCTGTTACACCAGTTAGTCTTATCTGAGAAAAAAAAAACAACAACTAAAAAAGCAAAGTAGAGGGAGTTGGCTGGTCGATGAGCCCAGCTAGCGCCTCACAGAGTTCTCCAAGGACTCTCCGTCAGCGTCTACGTCCCCTCGTAGCTCGCTGGAAATGTGGATTTCAACTGTACTAGAGTCTGAACCTAGCAAGACAAAATAAGGGCAGATTACTGGGAGTTACTGCAGACAACACCAATAAGAATTTGTGTAACTGATGTGTTTTTCTGACAAGTTTAGATTAGGGTCAGGGCTTTATAAATAAATAAAAAAAACAGTCTTTAAWAAGAATGACTTTATTATTTTGTTTAAATCCTTGTCACAGATGCCCATGACAGAACATCACTTTAGTTTTTGTAAACAATCACACGGTGCAAAGACAAAATGATTACATTTCCCAGCAGTACATGCACGTCAACATTCACTACGGTGCTGGGTTATGAGGTATATCTTAGTSAAATTAATGCAGTGAAGGAGGGTTTTTGAAACTGAGACATGTATAAATGTACAACAAAAACTAATTTGACAGTACAAGTGAAAACAGTTCCTCTAACAAAGCCCATTATTGTTATACAATAATAAAAGTGACAAAAATTATTTTTGTGTGGACCGAGAGTGAAACTGTGTCAGCCTTGGTTTGAAGCCAGGTGAAGTAAAATAAATAAAAAACTCATTATAACCCTCAAAAAGAAATGTGTTGTTCTATTAGAGTGCATTTGTTTCATGCACTGAAACAGAAATACACTGGAATGGACAGGCACAATGCAGTCTATGATAATGAGGTGAGATTTGTGCTGCCATCTTGGTAGGTGCCAGGTGGTGTAGTTGGTTATTTCCATCAGGGCAGCAGACTATATACAGTACACTCCTGATCAAAATCTTAAGACCAGTCAAAAAAGTGCAAGAATTTGCATTTTGCACTATTGGATCTTAAGAAGGTTCTAAGTAGAGCTTCACAACGTTAAAAGAAGAAATCAGTGCAAGAGACAAGAACTTTTGAGCAGGGAATTTTCTGAAAACTGCATTTACACTCAAACAGGATTTTTTTCAGCTGATCAAAAGTTTAAGACCATAGCTAAAAAAAAAAAAACTAAAACCCCCCAAAACAGAAATCAAAGTGTCAAAAA